CAAAATTCTGTGCTGGAAATGTTTCCCATTAGCTAGTTTTTGTCTTTTGGAGGACACCACTGAAACCCGTGAAGAAGACGGCTTTAACTGTTTGGTGCAGAACAATGTCCTGCACGGGCAACGCCAGCGTCGAGAGAAGGCTTTTCTCTTTTCTGCACAGAGCAGCCATTGCACTGAGCTTGGGAAGACTCTGGTGTCTCGAGAACATGTGGGTGCAGGAGCGACCTCCAGCACATCTGACTCCCGCCTGTGAGCAGAAGTTCCTCAGAGCCTTTCAGCACATGTGGAAGCTCCTAGGATTCCTGACAGTCTCCAGTTTGGGAAGAAAGCTTTCTGGAAACACTGGGCTAGATATGGAAGAGTAAGATGGAGAAGTACAGGCATCTGATTAGAGACATTTTTTTAAACTAGCAAGACCAGAAAAGAGTCCAGGAATCTCTTGCCAGGTGGGTTAGGGGGTCCACTGCTCCTGGCCTGGGGGAGGAGAGGGCGACTGGGTCAGGACGTCTGGAGCCCGGCAGTGGGCACCAGGGGTCTGTCTCCTCTCTGTGGTGCTCTTCTCCAGGCTTTTTCCCTCAGGTCCTCGGAAGCTGCTCTGCAGGAGTCCAGATTGCCCAAAGCGAGGCCCCTCTTCCCTCCTGTGCAGCTCTCAGCTCAGCCCCAGCCTCAGGGGATCGCGGTGCTCAGAACGCCCTGACGCTGACACTGGGATGGGTCATAGGAGAGGTTTTCTGCGCTGGTTCATGCTGGAGGCCCTTATCCAAGACCCTGCTCGAGGCTGGGCCAGAGGCCAGGCATCTTGGTTAGTTCCACTGAGATGCCGGATTCCCACAGGCATCCCAGCACTTTTCTGCTGTTCCCGGGAAATGTGCCCAACTTCTGAAGCCTCACTGATACCCTTAGCTACTTCTGTGCTGCCAGGAACAGCTCAGAAGCTCGATGTCACCCTCCTTTCTGCGGCTGCTCTGAAAGCAGAGCTGCTGTTTCTCAGAGAAGGGACAGCAAGTTCTCTGTTCCCAAGACGGAGGCGGAACTCAGATAAAGTCCCCGGAACATGGAGTGTCAAGCATGGAGGAATAATGCCCCACGGAGGAGGGGTTCAAAGGATTGAGGCTTGGGGCATCTGCTTCAGGGCCTCGGGAGCTCTTTATCCTGATCTCTGGTTTCTGTTCGTTGTGCCCGGAGGAAGGGATTGGGGAGGGTAATGCCAGGAGGCCGCTTTAACAACCTCAGGACTCGGTTCTCGGCAGGGAGCCGCGGCACTTCAGCTTGTTTCGGCCTTTACTCCCACTTTGTTTTCTGGACCGCAAATCCTCTTTCAGAAATGTTCAGTGCAGCGCAAGGTGAAGAGCTTCTGACCAACAGCCTGTCCATCACCACCACCGTTCCCAGCTTCCGGCCTGAAAATGACTTTTTTTTTCTTTTTGGAGACCATTTTGTGTTTTAACAGCATTCAGTTGCTTTTACCTCCTGATTTTTGATTTCTTTAATAAGACTTCTCTCCTTCGTGAAGGTCGCCGAGGCGCCAGCAGATGCGATCTGGAGAGAGGGACGCAGTGCACAGGGATGGTGAGGCTGCAGGCCTGGAGCCCTCCCGGCCGGCCCGCCCCTCCGCTCATCCTGAGGGCGGAGGCTGCAGTGTTGGCAGCCTGGCCGCGACTCGGGGGTCACACGCTCCGTGGCCCCTGTGTGTTCCCGGCAGACAGCGCGGGTGAGTTCTCAGAGAAGAAGGGATGCCTTGGCGTGGTCCTCGCGTCTGCACGCGCGCCAGGCTGCTCCACCCCGCTGTCTGCTGCCCTGGTCTCGAGGGTTCGGCTCAGCGGGCAGCGAACGCCCTTCTGGGCTGCTGTCTGCGGCCACTGGCTGGGCGAGGCTGGGCAGAGGGACTTGCAGGCTCCTTTCCCAGTGCCGCTGAGGTGCCAGGCCCTGGTTACCAGGCAGGAGTTGGTGCTGGCAGATCCAGGAGATGGAAGGACTGGGCCGCAGCAAGCACAGTGCCCCTGTGGAAAGCAGTTGCTCAGGAGAAATTGGCGTGAGCTTGGGTCTCACGCACTGAGAGGTAAGAGCTGAGTTGGCTCCGAGCTGAGTTTGGAGGGACCAGCATTGTGTGTTAGTGCAGACAGGCCAGGTAGAGGAGTGACTACGGAAGACACAGGGCAGGAAGCACGGGGGAAAGCTACAACACGGGACAGCGCCGCCAGCGCCTGCCCTCGGGACCGCTCCAGGATGACCCAGTTTTCCACAGCAGACACACAGGGCGCCCCAGCTCTGTGCCCCGGGAAAGGCGGCCTGAAGCCTGACCCCAGCAAGCAGTGTAGACAGGAAGAGGCGGGACCCAGAGGCTCACAAGCCCCCGTGCAGGCTTAGTGCTGGTCTGCAGGAGGCCTGGGTCTCATGGGATGGTGGACGTGTCCACAAGAGCCTTTGGTTGGGAGTGAGCGAGCCCTGCTCACCTCGGCCTGCCATGAACAGCCGGCTCCCTCTCGATCATGTGTGTGCTGTGCTGCAGGCAGGGCCAGCAACATGAAGGCAGCATTTTCAGGCCGCCAGAGTCAGAGGTCAAGGACCTGTTTTCTTCAGCTCTCACTCGCATCCGGTAGTCTGTTCTGGCAACATCAAACACACAGATTCAGATTTTTTTTTTTTTTGGTCTTTTTGAGACAGGGTCTCACGGTGCAGTTCAGGCTGGCCTTGAACTCACAACAATCCTCCTGCCTCAGCCTCCCGAGTGCTGGGATGATAGTCATGAGCCACCATGCCCGGCTGACAGGTTCAGATTTAAAGTGGTGATAGCTAACGTTTCTATGCTATCTGCCAGAGTTTACACTTGACGGCACTATTAAGAGAGTAGCCGGGTTTGGTGGGGCACTCCTGTAATCCCAGCACTTAGGAGGCTGAGGCAGGAGGATCACTGCGAGTTTGAGACCAGCCTGGGCTACAAAGTGAGCTCAAGGCCAGCCTGAACTGCATAGCAA